TCTGAGCCATACCAGGAATTTTTTTTATATGCTTGTGAGTGACTCTGTCCAGTAGACTCTGGATCCAGATAAACAGAACTGCAGGTCCCATTAGTACCCGAATCATTCTGGCACAGGAGAGCACGCTGTTAGTCAGCTTTCTGTCACTTTCAGGGACACAAGATCCAGAGTATAACGTGGTCTTTTTAAAAGAAATCTGCCAAGTGTTTATCTGCAGAGATCATTCTGTAAGGCACTGCTGTGGTTTGGATCTGTGTCCCCCGAGACCCCTGCATTAGGCTTGGGTCTTTTTAGAACCATGTAAGACCTACCAGCTTGGTGTTACTGTGAGGTGGGGCACCTTCAAGATGGGGTCCAGTGGGAGGTCCCTGAGTCATTGAGGTTGTGCCCTTGCAGGGCCTGTGGGACCTCAGAGGTAAGTGGCTTTGCTCACCCAAGTCCACCATGGTGTGCTGCCTTGCCATAGTCCTGAACCACCATGACCAACAGACCATGGGCTGAAACCTCCACAACAGCAAGCCAAAATAAAACTGTTCTCCTTATAAGTTAATTGTCTCAGGAATTTGTTATAGGCATAGAAAGCTGGCTAAACCCTGGCTTACATTCTAGTCTTCTGATACTTCCTCCAGTTACTAGAGCTCTGGGAATGGTGGCAGAAGCAGAAGCAAACATAATCAGTGCAGCAGTCCTGGATCTGTGGTTGAACTCTCTGTGATTTTAGTTTTCTGGAGTCAACTGCATTGTGTGGCTCGGCGATCCTCCTTCTGAAGTGTAGAACAATGCTACATCATAATACATGTGTAATCCAGGCCATCCCGCCATGCAGGCCCTGTGTGATCTCACATCAGCACAGGTGAGTGCTGCACAGTAACATATTTTGAAAGAGTGAGAGGCTGTATTCACACGATTTTATCAAAGTATTGTAATACTTATCTTTTTATGAATAGTTATTCTTTTTACTATCTTACTATGTCTAATTTGTAAATTAAACTTTATCACACATACTGTCCATGGTGTTAGGAATCCACTGAGGACCTTGGAACTTGTGCCCTGTGGATAAGGGAAAACACCATACCATAGAATTTTAGAGCAAAACAATACTTCAGAGGAATCACTGTCCAGCTCTTCTCATGCAGGTTCATGGACTGATGATAATTAGGAAATTATTCTATTTGGACAAAATAAAGACAAAGGAATAAGGGAGTGAGTTTTGTATAAAGCTAATTGTATTCAGTTGGAAGGGATTTTTGTTTTTGAGAGTCTGTCCTACTTTTCTTATTTTTAGAAGGTCTTTTTATGGGGATTTGGAGGATTAAAACCTTATGCTCTGACTTCTCATTTTTGTCCCTCCCTGCCAGCCAAGAAGGGGCTCAAGTTGCCTCCGAAAGGGAATTGACTTTTCAGTTTTCACCTAGGAAAACCCTAAGTACGGGCTAGCTCTTGTGAAGTGGAAATGAAAAAATCTTTCAGTTAGGCCAGGAGGGAGCCCTGCTTCAGCAAATCTGGAACCAAATTCAGCCAGTTCTCTTCTGTGAGGCCAGTCTGACTCACACCTAGTTGCTGGCAGAGGACTTGGAGCAGAAAGAGAATTCTCATTTCGTTAAAGTGAGCCCAGCTCACTCTGCTTACCGAATAAAGGTAATGCCAGCCACAGTGAACTTTAACTCAGGACCTTGGCCAGCAGGAGACCACACCCATAACCTTTGCCATCACCCATCAGATGAGCTGCTCCTCCTCCTTTGAGTTGGCATGAAAGTGGAGTGAAGCTTCTGTGTTGGCCTACAGGCGGATGTGTCAGGTGGGGAGCTTCTTCCTCCTGGGCCAACATGGGGAATAGCAGGAGGGCTGGGCAACTTCTGGTATTTGCTGGCAGGGCCCTGAGAGGCCCTTAGTAATCTCACTGCAGTCTCCCAGCACAGACAGTGAAGGGTGCAAAGCTGTTTTTAGATCAACCATCAGGATAAATAGGATGCTTTTCTATTAAGTAAAGATTTTAACATTTGTGTTAAAGTGCACTTTGCATAAGAGGCACTGTCTTCACCATTTCTAGGTGCGCAGTTCGGGGCATTCAGTGCACTGACATTGTTGTGCAGCTGTCGGCATCACCCGTCCCACCTCTCCTTTATCTTCCTGAACTGAAAGTCTGTGCCATGGAGCAGGGACTCCTCATTCTCTCCTTCCAGCTCCTCAGTAGGCATGCCTCCAGATGTCTCTATTTATCAGGCTACGCTAAGTACCACATGTACGTGGAATCATGCTGTGTTCATCTTTTTGTGACCAGCTTTGTCACTTACTAGGTTGCCCTTAAGCTTTACCATGTTGTTGCATGGGTCAGAATTTCCTTCCTTTTTAAGGCTAAATGATGTTCTTTTGTATATATACAGCAGTTTCTTCTCTAAGGGATTTGAGTGTGGGGAGTGCTATCTGTGGCACCTGTAGTTCTGGGAATGTCCTAAAATTGCACGGCAGTTGGAGTATCTTCCTCGGCACAAGGCTGGGAAGTGCATGGAGATATGGAATCAGTTCTGTACCCCACTGGATAGACAGTGACAGCAATCAAGAATTAAGGACTGCTGGGGATTTAGCTCAGTGGTTCTGCCACCTGCCTCGCAAGTTCAGGGATCTGAGTTCGATCTCTGGTACCAAAAGAAGAAGAAGAAAAAAGATTCATACAAAAAAAAAAGAATTAAGGACTGTGGGGAGGGCTTAGCTCAGTGGTAGAATGCTTCTCTCACACACCCTGAACTCCATCCCCAACACACAACACACACACACACACACACATATCGAGGATTGCCTGTACAGTCATTGGGCACTTTTGTTTTTGTGGTACTGCAGATTGAATTCAGGACTGAGCTAGATCCCCAGCTCTTTTTCTATTTTTTCAGAGTCTCATGAAGTTGCTAAGTTGCCCAGGCTGGGCTCAAACTTCTGGTCCTCCTCCCTCAGCCTCCTAGAGTGTTGAAGCCACAGGCATGATCCATCATGCCCAGCTAATTGAGCACAATGGCTTCTCTCTGAGGATGCATCCCATTGGAAACTTGAATGTGGACTGCCCTGCCCCTGAAAGTACCATTTTCCCCTTCTATTCTTTCTTTTTTTCTTGTCCCTTCCCCTCAATTTCTTCCCCTTTTCATTTGAACATTTTCTTCTCATTTCCCAATGTCTGTTGTACATTTCAGTCCTTATTTCCTATTTCAGTTTCTCACACCTGAGAAATAATGCAGTATTTATTTCACTTAGGAGTATGATCTCAAAGTCCATCCATTTAGCTATGAATGTCTGAAGCTCATGCTTCTTTTTTTTTTCTTTTTTTCTTAAATTCTTTTATTGGTACATTTTAGGTATACAATACATTTCCATTTATCATTGGGTGTTTGTACCTGTACATGATGTATCTTGGTTCTTATTTTTTCCCCATTACCTGTGCACCCTTCACCCCCTCCACCCTTCCCTATTTACATAGACTTCGTTTCTATTTTTTTTTCTTTTCTCATAATTTTTCCTTTCCATTCTTTCCTTTCCCCATCTCCTCCCACCACCCCTACCCCTTTGGACCTTTTCCTATTTCAAAGTATCAATTATTAGTTATTAATCCTTTTAATCCTTATTTACACTTTCAGTTTCTCACACTAGAGAAACTATTCTGTCTTTACACATGTGTGTCCTATTTATTTTACTTAAGAGTATGGCCTCAATATGCATCCATTTAGCTATAAATGACTCTAGTTTCTCATTCTTTATGGCTGAGTAGTACTCCATTTTATAAAAAACCCACATCTTCTTTATCCAGTTTCCAGTTGATGGGCATTTGGGTGACCACTATGGAAATCAGTGTGGAGATACCTCAAAGAACTAGGGCTGGAGTTCCCATTTGACCCAGCTATTCCCCTGCTGGGTATTTTCCCAAAAGAATTAAAAGAATCATGCCACAACAATATATGTGCACCCATGTTTATAGTGGCACAGTTTGTAATAGCTAAAGCTTGGAAACAGCCCAAGTGCTCATGCTTCTTTATGACAAAGTAGTACTCCATTGTATAAAAAAACCCCACATCTTCTTTATCCACTCATCGGTTGATGGGCATTTGGCTGTTTCCAAGATTTAGCTATTGCAAACTGTGCTGTTAAAAACATGGGTGTGCATGTATCACTGTATGTATGTATGTATGTATGTATGGTACTTTTAGTTCTTTGGGGAAGATATCAAGGAGGGGAGTAGCTGATTCATAAGGAACCTCTGGTTTTAATTTTTTGAGTAATCTTAGAGATGGGTTTTAGGAAGCAGATTCAGTTGTCTTTTCTCTCTTGCTTCCTGTCCAATCATGTGATCTCTTCCACATGCTCTTCTATTGTGAGGCTGTACATCGTGTTGTGATGTAGCCTAAAAGCCTTTTCCAGAGTGGAGAAGATAACAGGGTTAGAACTGTGAGCTAAGCAAACCTCTTTTCCTTATAAAGTACCCAGTCTCAGATGTTACGTCATCACAGCAGAAAAGAGACTAGGATGCTCAAGAAAGAGGCCATTCTGCTGTTGTGATTATGTTCTTGGGCCAGGCATGTGGCCCAGGCCAGTAATCCCAGCATTCTCAGCCTGGGCTACATGGTGAGTTCGAGATCAGCTTAGACTGATAGTACCCCTCCCCTAATAAACTGTATCCCGGGGAAGCTGATTCCTCCTGTACAGAAAATGTGAGGGATGGAATTGCTAAGTGTTCATGTGTTCATGCTTTACCAAGGTTAAATGAGATCATCTTTAGAATTTGACCTTTTCTTTGAAAGTGTGGTCACTGATGGGAGTTCAGGTAAGTTTGGTGCTGCTGCCTCTGCATTATCTGGAGTATTTTAGATTTTCATTGTCAGATCTGTAGTGACTTCCATTGGGTGTTAAGTGGAAAATAATATCAAATGGAAAGTAAAAAGGGAGCAGCCGGCACCAACCATGCCGGGCTGGCCATTCAGCAGTGGGCATTAACTGCCTGGCCTGTGCTGTACACCCAGATCCAGACAATGGCAGAGAGCAGAAAGACCATTGCCCTGTGCTTGGAAAGATGGTGGAGTGGTGAGCAGCTGAGAGGGTCTTCCCGAGGCTTGGTGTTGAGAATTGAAGCCTCTCAGGAGAGTGAAGGAGCCATGGTGGTAAAGACGCAGCAGGCTACAACGGTTGGTAAGAGGTTGGGATCAGCATCCCCTACTGGAACATGGGCTTGCTGTAAGGGAGGGTGGCTTGAACCTGCATCAGAACTGTGCAGGGTTCAAACCCACACAGGTCAGGGAGTTCAACTCCAGTATAACGGCCAGAGACCAGCCTGAACCACAGTGGACTACGGCTGGCTGGCTGAGATTAATCAACTCTAATCTGTGACAGCAGATACACGCCTTGAAGGAAAGTGGAAATGCTGTGAGCCCTGGCCTACAGTGCGCATGGCCCTGAATCTACCTGAAGAGTCTGTTATTACCCACTTCAGAGCCTCTGTGGGCAGTGGTTGAGCTGCCCACTTTGCAGGCCCCAGTAACAACTCTAAGGAGCAGGTGCCAGGGCACAGGACTGGGGCTCAGCTTTGTGGATCTAGAAGAAGCACCTTTCACAGGCTGCTCTGCCGATTGCAGCAGGTGTGGTTGTTAACTCCAGCTGGTGGAAAGAGTCTGCTACTATTCTCTTATTGAGCTTTCAGAGACTTCCTGTCACCCTGATTGTGGCATATGGCCCTTGAGCCATACACTAATCATGTTGTTTTAAAAAAAATTCTTCCCTGGGCCTCTATGTCAGTTCTTTTCAGGGTGGAAGGAAGAGCAAGCAGTTATAGTTGTCATTATGTTTAATGCATTTTAAACAATAAAGAGTTGGCAAGCTCATTCATTTCCAAAATTTAAAAAAAAATTGTTGTTTTCCAACCAACATTGCATTTACTTTCTAGGGTTCACTCCAGGACCCATGATGGGGTGGTAGAAGGTGGCAGAGACCTCAGACCCTGTGCTGGCAAAGAAGCCATGTCCCTGATATTGGGAGGCCAATGTGGACAGGGGTCAGGGTGACTCTCACTTCTGTATGAGCCGGGTGTGGCAGCAGGGACTATAATCCTACCACTTGGACAGCTCAGGAAGGAGCATTGCTGTGAGTTCAAGCCCAGCCTGAACTACATAATGAAACCTAGACTGAAGAAAACCAAACAAACAAATAAATGCATGCTACAACATTTGAGGCATTTATTGAGGAGAGCACCCCATTCTATCTGTGCCATAGGAATATTTGGAGAACCAAATAAGGCAAAGAAGGTGTGGAACCTTAGAAAGTGACAATGCCTGATCCAAAACCAATGCTGGCCTCAGCATTTGTGTGGGCCACTAGAAGCACCAGTGGCAGCGTTTCCCAAACACACCTAGAGGACCCGATCTCCAGATCACCCTGGGCATCTCCATCTGCTGCAGATTAACCCACTTGGGAATGTCTTGAACAACATTCTTTCCTCTTGAGTTTTAAGAAGTGAATTAAGCTTCTTTTAACAATTCCACTCACTATAATTAATCAGTGTAATGCAGCAGACCAGCACGGGGAAAGCTTTTCTAGATTTCAGTTGGAAACTTTTCTTGATCTTTTCCTTTCTGTGTCTCTTTTTAAAGATTCTGTCATCTCATAATCTTTTTGTGCCTTTTACTTTTTAATTAATGCATGCCCATGACACATCATGATCACAGGATAATCTGCTCTGGGGAATCAGGACACACATGTCAGATCATTTTTATCCCCTTTCTCCCTCACCCAACTCTGCCTCCTCCCCAGATCCTTCTCTATCTCCAAAAAGCCGACCTCCCTGTTTCTTTTCACCTTTCTAGGCTTAAGTAATTTTTAAAATGAGTTCTTCAGAATTTTTGTTAGACTGAGGTCCAGGGTTCAGAAACTCAGTTATCCCTTGAGCCGAGCCATGAATTGCAGAGCAATGAAGGTATTTAGTATCATTTCCAAGCAGTGAAATGTGGGAAAAGGAGAGATTTAAAATAGAGATATTGGCTGGGGAGGTAGCTTGGTGGCACAGGGCATGCTCAGCATGTGCAAGGCCCTTGTTTCTATCCCCAGCACCTTAAAAGAAACACAAAATAGACACATTACCTGGAAAGTAAAGCAACTTTTTATAACTTGCTCTATTGTTCTTTATAATATTACTTCTAAGATTTAGCCTGGAAGTAAGAATAAATCTTACCTAGCTTGCTTTGTGGTTTCTAAACAGTGATTGAATTCTAGCATTGCACAGTTCCTTGTGATCTCTGTTTCTGTTTTTGCAGTTCTGGGGCTCGAACCCAAGACCTAGTGCAGTTAGACAAGCACTTTACCACTGAGCCACATCCCCGGCCCTTGATCTGTTTCCGATGCAGGGCCAATGCTGTGTCACATCTAGTCATGTAACATCCAGGATTGAGTGGAATGGTAATCAGTGGTTTCTAGGGAGTGACAGTGCTCATCTCCTCAGAAAAGGAGAAGGAGTCTGAGGTTAAGAAGAAAAGACACGACTTGTGACCAGGAGACCCAGCCACTGAGGACCCACCCTGGGCCTGCCCACCAGCTGCCAGCTTAGCTGCATGGGCAGAGCGGGTATGGGCTGACTGTGCCCTGCTCAGTCTGGCTTGCTCCGCCCACTTGCCACCAGGAGACCCAGCCGACCCAGCCAGAGACCCAGCCAATGATAACCCCCCGGGCATGCAAGAACAGCTTCCCCCCATCACCTCTGGCCTCTTGGCTGTGCAGCTACTTGATTCCAAACTACAGAGGCACAGGGGAACATAAAGTCTATTGTCCTGAGCTGCAGAAGTGAAAAACAGAGAGAGGGCCTCTCTCAGGCTCCCTGATGAAAACTGAAGCCCACTGGAAAAGTGAAGAGAGTCTCTGCAATAAAGGCACACCAGACCACTGTGCTTGGTAAGTTGGAGGGATCATCACCTCCCATCGGAACCTGGACTGTCTTCAGGGGAAGGTCAGCTGGAACCTGCAATAGAAACTTGCAGAGTTCAACCCTGCAGGAGGACAGGGAACTCAACTTGGGACTTGCAGCCAGAAATCTGCCTGAATCTCACGGGTCTGTGACTGGCTTACTGAGACTCATTGACATAACTGTACACTGCTGCCCATGTTGTTTATTGTGGAACCAGACACATACCCTGAAGGAGGCCTTTCATTTTTATCTTTTATATGTTATTTTCAAAATTGCCACTATTTTTTTGCTCTTATTTTTATTTTTTTTCTTCTTTTCTACTCTTTTAAATTTTTTATTTTTCTCTTTTTTCTTTCTTTCCCCTTTTCTTTCTCTCTCTCTCTCTGCCTCGCTCCCTTGCTGTCCCACATTGTTCTTCTTCTCCCTTTGTGTTCCTGTTCTGGCCCTAATTCATATTTCTTCTTTATTTTTCTTTTCTTCTCTTTCTTTCTCTTGCCTGTGCCCTCTTGCCTCACTGCTAACCTTCCCCTCTCCTTCTGCCTACCTATTCCTCCCTCCCCAACTCCTTCTAACTCCCCATCCCAAAGGGTAAAGTTGCTATATTGAAGATTTATTCACTATAAACATATGTTGGGTTGGTCCTTGATTTTGATGTAATTCATACAGTTAAAGGTGAGAGATTAATAACTACCACAAATTGTCATTTTCTAAGAGGTACTTGATGCTATTGTGTTGGTGATTGTATCACTTGGGCTAAGGTGTTGTGATTGATCTAATCGGTTGTCCTTTCTGGTATAATGAAAATGAGATAGACTCAGAGCCACTAGAGACTCAAAATATAAGGACCACCTATATCTGGAAGACACCTCTGAGAAGCAATCATTCCATAAGTCTTCTAAATACATCAACAAAGATACTTACAGTAACCAACGTCAAAGTGTCAACCCAGGAAATAAACCAAGGACAGTACCAAAAACGAAAATGAGAAGACATTTAAGCAAGGCACAAACTGAGCCATCCAACCCATGAAAAGCAAATTCTAGGGGAAGTGAGGTGGAAAAGTCTGATAATCAACTACCTGGACAACCTGAACTGGTAGCACAGGAGGTAACAGAACAGATGAATGAGGCTGTAGAAAAATTCAAAGCAGAAATAATCTCCCAGGTAACTACAGAGATGGTGAGCAGAGTGAAAGACATGATTAGAGGCTCTAGAAGAGAAACAGATTAAAAAAAAAAAATAGATGAGCTCAGAACTATGCTGGAAGCCATGAGTGCCCAGCATAAGAAAGAAATGGAAACCATGATCACCCAATGTAAGAAAGAAATAGAATCCATGAAATATATTCAAACAGATATTCAGGAGATTAAAAACTCCATTGAAAGCATTCAGACCAGATTAAGGGCATCTGAAGATAGAATATCAGATATAGAAGACATGATTGCAGTTAAGGACTATGAAAAGAGAGATCTCTTAAAAATAGTAAGGGGCCATGAGAAATCAATCCAGTGGCTGCTAGATGATGCAAAGAACAATAACATAAGACTGATAGGAGTCCACAAAAAAACAGGAGAAAGTACAATTGACATAAAAAACTGTTCACAGAAGTAATAGAAAACTTCCCAGACAGAGGTGGAGAATTGGACGTACAGATTAGTGAGGCATATATAACTCCAACTAGCCATGATCAAAAAATAATCTACACATCGACATATAATAGTCAAGGTCCCAGAAACCCAACAGATCAACAAAATCTTACAGGCAGTTAGAGAAAAGAAACAAATCACATACAAATGAAACCCCATCAGAATCATGGAAGACTTCTCAACACAAACCCTCAAATGAAGGAGAGCCTGGAGTGAAGTATTTCAAGCCCTAAAAGAAAATAACTTCCAACCTAGACTATTTTATCCTGAAAAAATATCTTTGAAAATTAATGGGGAAATTAGATACTTCCATGACAAAGAACACCTGAGAAATTTCATGAACACCAAACCAGCACTCCAAACAATTCTAAGCAATATCCTAGAAAAAGACAATGAAGGTCACCACTACATGAAGCCCAACAGAGGGAAGCCACCAGGCAAGGTAAGAAACTAAAGGGAAAGGGGAAAAAAATAAAAAATAAAAGAGCCAACAACAGTAAAACATCATGACAAAGATGAGTCAATATCTATCAATTATAAATATCAATGTTAATGGCCTCAATTCACAAATCAAAAGAAATAAACTGACAGAATGGATTAAGAAGCAAAATCCAGCAATATGCTGTATACAAGAGTAGTGATCTTATTTGCAGACAAAGTAGATTTCAAACCAAAATGAATTAAGAGACACAAAGATGGTCACTACATCCTTGTGAAGGGAACAATCCAAGAGGAAGAGATGACAATCCTAAATATATATGCACCAAATACGAATGCCCCCAGCTATACAAGGCAAATCTTAATGGACATGAAAGACCAAATAAGCACTAATACAGTTGTAGTGGGGGACCTCAATACTCCACTATCAGAAATGGACAGATCATCTAGACAAAAAATTAACAACAGAATTCTAGAACTGAACCAAGCTATTGAACAAATGGACTTAATAGATGTTTTAGAGTGTTCCACCCCACAAAATCAGAATACACATTCTTTTTGGCTGCACATGGGTCCTTCTCCAAAATAGAGCACATGCTAGCTCATAGGACATGTCTAAGTAAATGTAAAAGAATTGAAGATACCCCCTGTATATTATCAGACCATAGTGCAATAAGATTGGAGATCAATAACATAAGAAACTGCAAAACTCCCACAAACACATGGAAATTGAGTAACACCCTCCTGAGCAACCAGTGGGTCACAGAGGAAATTAAAGAAGAAATTAGACAGTTTGTACAAGTAAATGATAATGCCAGCACAATATACAGGAGTCTGTGGAACACAATGAAAGCAGTTCTATGTGGGAAATTCATAGTCAATGCCCATATTAGGAAAACAGAGAGAACTCAGATAAATAAACTAATGCAGAACCTCAAGCTTCTAGAAAAAGAAGAGCATGAGCTTAACCCAAAGCTTGTACAAGAGTGGAAATTATAAAGATCCGTGCAGAAATCAATGCAATGGAGACTAAGAGGATACAAAAAATTAATGAAGCAAAGAGTTGGATTTTTGAAAGAATAAATAAAATTAATAAACCTTTAGCCAATCTTATCAAAGAAAAGGAAAGAAAAGGCTCAAATTCATGCAATTAAAAACAAAAAAGGTGAAGTTACAACAGACCCAGCAGAAATCCAGAGGATCATCAATACCTACTTTGAGAACCTGTACTCTAATAAAATGCAAAACACGCAAGAAATGGATAGATTCCTCGATACATACAAATTGCCAAAGTTAAATGAAGATATAGAAATTCTAAACACCCCAATTACAGACAGTGAAATTGAAAATGTAATAAAAAATTTACCAACAAAGAAAAGTCCAGGTCCTGATGGCTTCACTGCTGAATTCTACAGGACATTTAAAGAACTATTGGTATTACTTTTTAAACTCATCAAGGAAATTGAAAGGGAAGCAAGGCTTTTTATTCCTGGAAGCAAGTGTTACTTTGATTCCAAATCCAGGGAAAGACCCAATCTAAAAGGAGAGGCCAATCTACAGGCCAATCTCCCTAATGAACATAGAAGCAAAACTCCTAAACAAGATACTGCCAAACAGAATACAGAGGGTCATCAAGAAGATCATACACCCTGACCAAGTCGGATTCATCCCAGGGATGGAAGGATGGTTCAACATTCATAAATCAATAAATACACTATATTAACTGAGTCAAGGACAAAAACCATATGATCATCTCAATAGATGCAGAAAAGGCATTTGACAAAATCCAACGCCCATTCATGATAAAAAAACCCTACAGAAAATTAGAATAGAAGGTCTTTAATTTAACCTGATTAAGGCTATCTATGAAAAACTAACAGCCAACATCATACTAAATGGTCAAAAACTGAAAACTTTCACACTAAAATCAGGAACAAGATAAGGATGCCCACTATCACCACTCATGTTTAATATAGTCCTGGAAACATTAGCCACAGCAATTAGAAAAGAGAAACAAATAAAAGGAATAAAGATAGGAAAGGAAGAAGTTAAATTATCATTATTTGCTGACGATATGATACTTTACATAGAAGACCCAAAAAACTCCACTGAAAGTCTTCCAGACTTGGTTGACAGCTTCAGTAGTGTAGCTGAATACAAGGTCAACACTCAAAAAACTATAGCCTTCTTGTAAACAAATAACAGACTCACTGAGAGAGAAATTAGGGAAACAATTCCTTTTACAATAGCATCCACAAAAATGAAATATCTAGAAATCAACCTAACAAAGGAAGAAAAAGACCTCTACACTGGAAACTACAGCACTCTGAAAAAAGAGACTGAAGAGGATAAAAGAAAATGGAAAGACATCCCTGTTCCTGGGTAGGAGGAACCAATATAGTGAAAATGGCAATACTTCCAAAACTACTCTATAGATTTAATGCAATGCTGATTGAAATTCCAACAATATACTTCACAGAACTAGAGAAAATCCAAAAATTCATTTCAAACCAGAAGAGCCCCAGATGAGCAAAAGCAATTCTAGGCAACAGAGACATGGCTGGGGGTATCATAATCTCCAACTTGAAACTACACTACAAAGCTACTGTGATAAAAACAGCATGGTACTGACAAAGAAACAGACTCAAGAATCAGTGGACTGGATTAGAAGATGCAGAAACAACTTCAGACATACTCAGCCACGTCATCTTTGACAAAGGAGCCAACCACCCTCATTGGA